CCTATAACTCACCTACAAATCAGGCTAGATCAGACACGTACAGGCTATATGGGTCTTCTCATTCATCACTGCGGGAAAAATATAAATTCCAGGTTCTAATTTGGCCTTACACTGTAAACCCTAATAAGTTGAGACTACTCAAATGATTTGAGGAAAGTGGTTGCGTAAGTTTTTTTGAGTAATGGGAAAATTCAAACTTAATTAATTGAGTTGACCTAATGTGGTCTTCTCATTGAATTAACTTAAATGTTTAAGTAAAGATAACTTAAAAGGCAAATGGAGTAAACTCAAATTTTCCAGGTTATATTTTGTTGTTTACTTATTATTAAATACATTTTAAATAAATTATAAATCATTAAACCAAGTTTTGTTTTTCACAACAGCTTTATTAGGCTTACATTACATATCTTAACTTCTATAATGCATACTGACTGAACATTGTATATTAACATTTAATCAGTAAAAAATACAATTACAATACTTGCAGTAAATTAAATCAATTGATTAAAAATTTTAATTGAAAAGTGAAATTGACCAGATCAGAACAATTGACCAGAACAATTAAAAACACAGTGTAATGAACAACAACAGACATTGTCTGTTATTGTAAATATTGTCATCTACTTATCTTTCACCCTTTGTAATAGTTGTGTGTGTCCCTCAGTTGTCCTCGGTGTCAATAGATAGATCTCAACATCATACAGTCACTTTTAGAATGGGTTCAAAATTTCAAAATATGCTGGAAAACCAAAAAATGTGTCAGTACTGCAGGCTAACATCAGCGAGATCTCATCCTGGGTAAACTGCCACTGTTGGTCCAAAGGGTCTCATTGCCGCAGTCCTTTAGATGAATGGTTGGGGCAGGGATCGAAGGATCCTGTGATTAAAATAAAAAAAATAATTAAGACGCATTTTCTTTTAATACATCGTACAGTACTCATTGTTTAAGCACAGGTTAGAGTGATATAATAATAAAAATGTAACAATACAAAGGAATGTTGCTAGTTGGACAGCAACAAGAATGGAAATAATCAAAGCAAGTCAAAGTGCTTTCTTGCCGTTTCAGTAACTAAATAAAATACAAGATAACTTGGGAAACTGAATTGTATTCAAACAAAAACTCTTTCTGTGTGCTTTACCTTATTGATGACTCAGATCTTTGAAGAGCAGCAGTAGCCTATTCGTGAAGAATGGCAGCGTTTACCACCTGGCCTAAAAACAATCATATATATATACACAGTAAATTACATCATAATAAAACTAAGTACATGGTAGATTTCTACACTTACTAGAACATTGAAACAAACAAAAGGAGTGAAATTTACACTGCACTTCCACAATTATGATATCATTTTAAGTATGTTGCTAAAAAACTTGTTTGCCTCACATGAATCAAGTCAGCTGCAGTTCTTCCTTCAGTGAGTTACTGTTTCTGAAGCCTCTGAGGACAGTTGAGAAGAAAGTGTCTGCTGATTTGTCAAAGGAGAATACGTTAACAACTCAAACATAAACGCACTCAATTTAAATCAACAACACTCAATCTTATGTTTTTGTTAAATACTCTATTTAAAAAGGTTTTATGAAAAAGTTTTTATTTGCACTTACCTTCGTCTGATATAAATGTCTGGAAAGGAAAAACAGGACGCTGTCAGTGCACGCAGTAACTGAAGGCAATGGGCTAAAATACAGTTCAGAAAAAAATATGACATTGAAAAACTTTGCCGTTGTGTTATGGTAAACATTATACAATGATTTTATTAATTCACACTTACCTTAGTCTGATGTAAATCTCACAGAAAATACCGGGCGCTGTCAGCGCGCAAGATTTGAATGGAGCAGGGGCGGGAATAAACGGCTCGAAAACAACGTCGGGCTAGAAAATACAGTTTAAAAAAACTGTTACAACATTGAACAAATTGTGATGTTATGTTCTGGCAAACATGTTATTTAAAATAGTTTTATGAATTCACACTTACCATACGTTTTCTCAGCCTCAGAAAATACCGGACGCTCTGCGCGCGCAAGAAGAACTACAGTGAGTCAGGGGCTGCTGCGGGGGAGGGGGGAGAACAGGCTCGAGAGTCGAGACTCGAGACAGTCGTCGATTAAAAAAAGATTCCATTTACAGGCGTCAGGAATTGAAAGTCTTGATCCAAATGCGAGGCCTGAAATGTCTGTACGTGATGGACAGGACCGATTTAACCCCTAAATGACTGTTTTATGCAGTGTCAGTCAGTCCCTCTGGCCTGCTGCCTGCATCAACAAATTCACGATGAACAAAAAAAATACTGCCTTGTGTATCGACCAATCAGCGTGTTGTCAAGGCAGAATTTCAGGCACGGCCAATCATATTAAACCGACACATAGTGAATCATTTAAATAACTTGAAATTTTGAGTTCATAACACTTAAAATCTTAATCTGAAAGACTGTTGCTGCCAAATGAGTACATTAAACACAACTGTTTCATTTTTGATGCAAAAACTTGCTATTGTAAGTAATGTTAAGTTATGATAACTTGATTTCTTTATTAATGATAACATTGGGGTTTACAGTGTAGAAAACCAGTAAAATCGACATGTTTTCCATATTAATTTGTGAATATTTAAAATGTTTAATAAAGGGGCAAAAAGTCATTTAAACAAAAATCTGAAAAAGTCTGTCGATATTTACTTTTTTGCGCAGCAGTTGGTGAAGCCAGTTCAAATTAAAATTTTGTTCAACTTTGCGTTTTAAAAAGACAACAACCGTTCATTTTTCGTTTTTCAGTTACGGGTTAAAAAAGATAGATAATAATATGCAAATCTGCAATAATGGAAACGCGACTGACAAGCAATGATAGAAATGAATGATGATGATGACTTGTTTGGTAAGCTTCTATTTTAAAAGTTTCTTTCTCTACCCCCAAAAATTTTCACAAGTTTTGCCAGGTTTAGCCTCAGTTATGAATTAAAATGTGTTTATTGCAACTAATGTAAACTGTAGAGATGCAACCTGGTCATTAAAATAATTTCAAATGGGATTTTCTTTTCAGTTTTTTTTTCTTCGTTTTCTCCCCCGCCACTTTGGCGGCCCTCAGTTCAATGTTGGGTTCCTAAATTGGCCCTCACGTATCAAAACTTTGAGAACCCCTGATTTAAATGATCAGTTTGCTACAGTTTTTACTTGAACATGTTAAACATATCTAATAATTTCTATAATACATTTTCATTTTTAATTTGGCAACTTATCAAGCGTTAAAATATGTATTTAATTTATATATTATAACTAGTGTATGAAATGGCAAATGTAAATTATATAATTGAATTATCATTTTCATTTTGCCCCAAAACATTGCCCAAATGATGGGAAAATGTCAATTGAAATACAGAAATGCATTGCCATTTTACATATTACATCTCAAATTGAAAATTGCGGTGATTTAAGCAAATTTGAGTGTGGCATGGTTGTTGGTGCCAGACGGGCCGGTCTGAGTATTTCACAATCTGCTCAGTTACTGGGATTTTCACGCACAACCATTTCTAGGGTTTACAAAGAATGGTGTGAAAAGGGAAAAACATCCAGTATGCGGCAGTCCTGTGGGTGAAAATGCCTTGTTGATGCTAGAGGTCAGAGGAGAATGGGCCGACTGATTCAAGCTGATAGAAGAGCAACTTTGACTGAAATAACCAATCGTTACAACCGAGGTATGCAGCAAAGCATTTGTGAAGCCACAACACGCACAACCTTGAGGCGGATGGGCTACAACAGCAGAAGACCCCACCGGGTACCACTCATCTCCACTACAAATAGGAAAAAGAGGCTACAATTTGCAAGAGCTCACCAAAATTGGACAGTCGAAGACCTGGTCTGATGAGTCTCGATTTCTGTTGAGTCATTCAGATGGTAGAGTCAGAATTTGGCGTAAACAGAATGAGAACATGGATCCATCATGCCTTGTTACCACTGTGCAGGCTGGTGGTGGTGGTGTAATGATGTGGGGGATGTTTTCTTGGCACACTTTAGGCCCCTTAGTGCCAATTGGGCATCGTTTAAATGCCACGGCCTACCTGAGCATTGTTTCTGACCATGTCCATCCCTTTATGGCCACCATGTATCCATCCTCTGATGGCTACTTCCAGCAGGATAATGCACCATGTCACAAAGCTCGAATCATTTCAAATTGGTTTCTTGAACATGACAATGAGTTCACTGTACTAAAATGGCCCCCACAGTCACCAGATCTCAACCATCTTTGGGATGTGGTGGAACGGGATCTTCGTGCCCTGGATTTGCATCCCATAAATCTCCATCAACTGCAAGATGCTATCCTATCAATATGGGCCAACATTTCTAAAGAATGCTTTCAGCACCTTGTTGAATCAATGCCATGTAGAATTAAGGCAGTTCTGAAGGCGAAAGCGGGTCAAACACAGTATTAGTATGGTATTCCTAATAATCCTTTAGGTGAGTGTATATATATATATATATATATAATTTTAATTTTTCGTCTTTACATCTTTACAGGCATTACATCACGTTAGAAAGGTCAGGCTAAAAAAAAAAAAAAAAAATGCATTGATTTGGACTTCAACATTTTGGTTGTCATTGAAGTCCATTGTGTGGAGAAAAATCCTGAAATTATTTACATTTATTATTATTTATTATTGAAATTATTTTATTTTCCACTGAAGAAAGAAAGACATGAACATCTTGGATGGCATTGGGTGAGTCAATTATCAGGAAATTTTCATTTTGAGGTGAACTAATCCTTTAAGATATTTTAACTGCGCTTATTTCCGTCATTGGAATAAGTTATAAGTAGTGGGTGGTAATAGACAAGAAATTTACAGTTTTCGACCATCTTGCTGACAACGTTTCTTTAGTCATTCAGCAGTCTTGCAGCCTGAACCCCTGCAGGAAATCCAACGATAAACTACAAAATGGATTTTAATAGGACTAGTGATGGTGATCGAATGCGGTTCAAATGAGCTGTTGTTGTGACACGGAGGTGGTAAAGGATCACTTGTAAGGTTTTTCTCCAGTGTGGATCCTCTCATGTTTTTTCAGATGTGAAGACTGACTGAATCTCTTGTCGCAGTGTGAACACTTGTAAGGTTTTTCTCCAGTGTGGATCATCTCATGTTTTTTCAGATGTTGTGACAGACTGAAACTCTTCCCACACTGATCACATGTGAACGGCTTCTCTCCGGTGTGGATCATCATGTGTCGCTTCAGGTCACGTTTAAAAGAGAAACACGTCCCACACTGATCACATGTGTGCGGCTTCTCTCCAGTGTGGATCCTCTCATGTATTTTCAGATCGGTTGACTGACTGAATCTCTTGTCACAGTGTGAACACTTGAAAGGTTTTTCTCTAGTGTGGTTCATCTCATGTGTTTTCAGATGTTCTGATCGACTGAATCTCTTGTCACAGTGTGAACACTTGTAAGGTTTTTCTCCAGTGTGAATTCTCTGGTGCCGTTTTAAAATGCTTGCTTTAGTAAAAGTCTTCTCACACTCAAAGCACATGTACTCTCTCACACCAGTGTGAGTTTTCTCATGTCCATGTAAATATTGCAGCAGTGAAAAACTCTTTCCACACACAGAACATGAATGCGGCTTCTCCTTCGTATGAACTGTCAGGTGTTTCTTCAGGTCTGATGCCCTAGCAAATGTTTTACCACATTGATCACATGAGAACGGCTTCTCTCCGGTGTGGATCCTCATGTGAACATTAAGGGATGATGATTGACTGAAACTCTTCCCACACTGATCACATGAGAACGGCTTCTCTCCGGTGTGGATCCTCATGTGTTTATTACGATTTGTTATGTGTGTGAAACTCTTTCCACACTGATCACATGTGAACGGCTTCTCTCCAGTGTGGATCCTCATGTGAATCTCAAGATTTCGTTTGCTTGTTAAACTCTTTCCACACTGAGTGCAGGTGAAATATTTCATGGCTCTTCTTTTCTTTAAAAATGTCTTTTTAGTCTTTGAGCGACTCAAGGGTTTTCCTCCAGGTTGGACATAATGTTCCTCCTCCACTTCACTCAGTTCTTCTCTCTCCTCCTCCACTTCACTCAGTTCTTCTCTCTCCTCCTCCACTTCACTCAGTTCTTCACTCTCCTCCGTCATTTCACTCAGTTCTTCTGTCTCCTCCTTCACTTCACTCAGTTCTTCTCTCTCCTCCTTCACTTCACTCAGTTCTTCTCTCTCCTCCTTCACTTCACTCAGTTCTTCTCTCTCCTCCTTCACTTCACTCAGTTCTTCACTCTCCTCCTCCACTTCACTCAGTTCTTCACTCTCCTCCTCCACTTCACTCAGTTCTTCTGACATGAAAGAAACAAATTATTTAATTTATTATTATTTATTTACTTTTCAGTACATCAAAATAATTCAAAGAGAGAAATATAAAGTTAAAGGACATGAAAGTAAGCCCTGATGTAGTGGTAATTGATTATATGTCCTTGAAACTTTCCATGAATGAGGTCAATTTATCGTTCAATTATTAAAACATTATAAAACACCAGACACACAAGCTCAAGAGAATAACCCTGTGAGAAATAACACAAACGTTTAGCATTCAAGTGGAGTGGATTGTTTATGTAACATTTTTTTATTATTATGTGTAATATGTTACATTTATGTTTGTAAAAAAGCTGCCGCAGAATGTGACGTCATTTCACGCTTGTTGCAGTGTCTGTAGAAACGTCACATGCTCAAAGTGTGGCCAAGGAGTGGCCACGGCTTTAACTAGTTTTAATTAACCATTTTTATTAGCATTATCTGTGTCCTACATGTTTCACTCAACCCTGTTACTCCTGACATGATTTCCCTCCTTTTAAAAACAGAGCATTTCTTAAAACTGTGACACTCAGGAAGTGACATCATCTGGGCTCTTTCTGCAGCATGATGGGAAGACAAGAGAATAATCTCAACCCATTTTCTGTTTTTACACAAACTGTATCATTGACTGTATTCATCAACCCGGTTACCAAAGTTACTGTAAGAAGAATCTCTATAACTATGAATAACTTATGATATTTGACAAATAAAACTTTATCAGTAACTTGGTGTTTACTGATTATTTGTAAACTGTTGAAAATTACTAATATTCTGGTAATGTTGTTGCAAATTGGGAACCAGATATAAAATAAATATAAAATAAAACAATTTAAAAAGTATTTAGCTTGATCTCATGTTGACAATCAATATAAAAAAAAAACTCAAATCTCCCTTTACTGACCATTTGTTGAAAACCCCCAGAACATTCTGTACCAGTAGCGTAGTGTAACTGTTTATCTAAATGTGATGAAGTGCTTGAATGTTTCTAACATGAATGTTCTTCAGCATCATGAATGAATGAAGAATAAACACCAACCTCTTTGTTCTTCAGGATCTTCAGTGTTTCTCATTCTGCAGGGTTCTGGATCACTCATGTTCTCACTGTCCTCTTTAATAAACTCAGTCTTGGCAGATTTCAGCTCTTCCTGATGCTTTCATGCTCGTCTTCACTTGTAGCTGATGGGAATTTACAGCATTTATTGCTGAATTTCTGTGGGAGGAGCTTCACTGATGATGTGATTGCAGTGGGAGGAGCTTCACTGATGATGTGATTGCAGTGGGAGGAGCTTCACTAATGATGTGATTGCAGTGGGAGGAGCTTCACTAATGATGTGATTGCTGTGGGAGGAGCTTCACCTATGATGTGCAGGAGCAGGAAAAAAAGATATTTCTATTAAATAGCATTTGAAAAACCTGTATAAACGGAACACCAAATAACAATATTAACTATGCAAATTATTAACAATATACCGAAGTAAAATAAATAAATAGTCATAAATAAATAGTCAAAGCTAAAGGCTAACACTCTGTTTCCTTTTTCCAAGGGAACTCGCGCTGCATCGATGACGCTTTGGGAACGCCCCCGCGTGATTACGTCTGAAGCATGTATGTCAACTAGTCCAATGGAAAGAATGAACATCACGTACAGGTGATGTCATGACCAGGAAAGGGTAAAAAGCACATCCGGTGCAACTGGTGCTAGTTTTTGTGCCTCAGCAAAGCGCTCTGTGTCAAAACTGTCTGTTAAATGTATTGTTTGTCTGACACATCCTTATCTAAACTATGGCGAAATAGTTATTCAAGTCATGTGCTTCTTGCCCTCATTTCCTTACGGGTGGGGATACACACAATTTTTGTGTAATCTGTTTGGGAGTGGAGCATACTATGTCAGCCTTCGTGGGGGCTGACTGTCAGCATTGTGAGCAGCTACCGCTCCGCATGCTCCACTCCCGCCTGTCACTATTTGATGAAAGTGACCAGGCTCGTGAACCTCAGGGTGCGGGACCCGCTGCTGCTGAGGCAGCACGGAGATCGCACACCTGGGGTTCGCAAATGGATCTCTCGGCGGGGTTGGAGACGGGCCCTGCCTTATCTCCTCGCTTATCTGTGGGATCCATTGCCCTTTTGCCGGTGTCGGAAGCCCGCCCTGCGGCTTCTTCCGCCCGGGGGGAGAGTGCTTCGGTGCTCTAGCTCTAAGGAGGTAGATGTACTGAGCATTGGAGATAGTGTAAGCCCGTCTATTATTCCAATAATACGGGGAAGGTTATTCTGCGTATTTGCTTGCCTTCAACGGCTGCAGTGTACTTGGCGCGTCAGCACACACAATTGCATTTTAAATAGGGCCAATATATAGGCAAGGCAAGGCAAGGCAAGGCAAGGCAAGTTTATTTATATAGCACATTTCATACACAATGGTTATTCAAGGTGCTTTACATAGAAAAATCAAAAGAAATAGGAATAATTAAAACAGTTAAGAATAAAGAGATTAAAATAATCAAAAGAAATAAGAATAATTAAAACAGTTTAGAATAAAAAATTAAATAAAATACAGTACAAACAGTCGGACACAGTGGCACAGTGCTCATTCAGTAAATGCATAGCTAAACAGATGTGTTTTGAGTCTGGATTTGAATGTGACTACTGTAGGAGCACATCTGATCTCCTCTGGAAGCTGGTTCCAGCTGCGGCTGGCATAATAGCTAAAAGCAGACTCTCCTTGCTTAGAGTGAACCCTTGGTATTTCTAGCTGATGTGATCCTAATGATCTGAGTGATCTGTTGGGTTTATATTCAGTGAGCATATCTGCAATGTATTTAGGTCCTAGGCCATTAAATGATTTATATACCAGTAATAATACTTTAAAATCAATCCTAAATGTAACTGGGAGCCAGTGTAAAGACCTGAGGACTGGTGTGATGTGTTCATATTTTCTGGTTCTGCTCAGGATTCTGGCAGCAGCGTTCTGTATGAGCTGCAACTGTCTTATGGTCTTTTTAGGAAGGCCAGTGAGGAGTCCATTACAGTAATCCACCCTGCTGGTGATGAAAGCATGCACAAGTTTCTCTAAGTCTTGACTGGAAACAAAGTATCTAATTCTTGCAATATTTTTCAGATGATAGTATGCTGATTTAGTTATTGATTTGACATGACTACTGAAACTAAGGTCTGACTCTAGAGACACACCAAGATTCCTGACTTGATTTTTAGTTGTTAGACCCCTAGCGTCAAGGTATGCGTTCACCTTGAGAACTTCATCTTTGTTTCCAAACGCAATGACTTCAGTTTTGTCTTTGTTTAACTGAAGAAAGTTTTGGCACATCCAACTGTTTACTTCATCAATGCATTGACACAGGGAGTCAATGGGGCTGTAATCGTTAGGCGATAGGGATAAGTAGAGCTGTGTGTCGTCTGCATAGCTGTGGTAAGAGATTTTGTTCTTTCTCATTATTTGGCTCATTGGGAGCATATACAGGTTGAATAGGAGTGGTGCAAGAATTGAGCCTTGAGGGACTCCACATGTCATGGATGTCCACTCAGACTTATGGTCTCCTATACTCACATAATAACCTCTCCCTTCTAAGTATGACCTGAACCATTTTAGGACTATCCCAGAAAGCCCCACCCAGTTTTCCAGCCTGTCAAGAAGTATGTCGTGATCGACAGTGTCAAATGCAGCACTGAGGTCGAGTAGTACCAGCACTGATAATTTCCCTGTATCAGTATTTAAGCGAATATCATTTATTATCTTTATGAGCGCTGTCTCTGTGCTGTGCTGAAACCAGATTGAAAATTGTCAAAGTATCCATTCAACCTTAAGAATTTGTTCAGCTGATTGAAGACAACTTTTTCAATGATCTTGCCTATGAAAGGAAGATTTGAGATCGGTCTATAGTTGCTTAATATGGTCTTATCCAGATTGCTCTTTTTCAGGAGGGGCTTGACAACTGCAGTTTTCAGGGAGTTTGGAAAATTCCCAGAGAGAAGTGAGGCATTTACCACTTCTAGGAGATCTGCTTCTAAACAGTTTAACACACTTTTGAAGAAAGATGTGGGAAGTGTGTCAAGGGCGCATGTTGATGTTTTAAGGTGCTGTACGGTTTCTTCTAAAATTTTGCCATCAATTTCTTCAAAATCAGACATAGTAGCTACTTTCTGCGGTTGTGGTCTGATCTGTCTGACCCCAGTGCGGCTCAATGATGTGCTGATCACCTTTCTGATATTATTGATTTTCTCAGAGAAGAAAGAAGCAAACTCCCTGCACTTGCTGTCTGAAAGCAATTCATTGGGAATCTGGCTTGGGGGGGTTGTCAGTCTCTCTACAGTAGCAAAAAGAGTGCGTGTGTTGTTTAAGTTGCTGTTTATAATATTTGAGAAGAAAGTCTGTCTAGCTTTGCCTAGTTCCATATTAAAAGCATGGATGGTGTCTTTATAGATGTTATAATGGACTACAAGTTTTGTCTTCCGCCACATGCGCTCTGTTTTTCTGCATTGTCTTTTCATATTTTGCACAGCTGTTGAGTTTCTCCAAGGTGCTTTTTGTCTACCACTCTTCCTGACTTTCACAGGAGCAATATCATCAATTACACTTTTAACTTTTGAGTTAAAACAATCAAGGAGAGAATCAACAGAGTCAGCAGATATGCTTGGTGTTGAAGATATAGCCTTCATAAATAGTACACTAGTGTTCTCATTTATGCATCTCTTCTTGACAGACACAGATCTAGCTTCAATGGCAGGAGAGATCAATATATCAAAGAAAATACAGAAATGATCAGACAGTGCTACATCCTTAATAACAATCGATGAAATGTTTAGACCCTTACTGATAAGTAAATCTAGAGTGTGTCCACGAGTGTGTGTCGGTCCGTGTACATGCTGAATCAGGTCAAAAGTTTTTAAAACAGTTTTGATTTCTTTTGCCATATTTGTATCATTATCTATGTGAATGTTAAAATCTCCAGCAATAGCAAAACAGTCGAACTCTGAGGAAATTGTTGATAACAGTTCTGTAAAGTCCTCAGCAAAGGCTGGAGAGTATTTTGGAGGCCTGTAAATAATGATAAGTAAAATGCGTGGGGCACCTTTTAAAACAATACCGAGATATTCAAAAGACGGGTAGTTACCAAATGATGTTTGCTTACATTGATAGACATCCTTAAAAAGAGCAGCTAAGCCCCCGCCTCTCTTACCCGCTCTGCAGACACTCATAAAAGTAAAGTTAGGAGGGGCTGTTTCATTGAGGACTGTTGCACTGCAGCTGTCTTCTAGCCAGGTTTCATTTAGAAGCATAAAATCCAGGTTGTATGTGGTTATTAAGTCATTGACTAGAAGTGATTTATTTTTAAGTGAGCGGATGTTTAAAAGTGCTAACTTAACAGTCTTACTTTTTGTCCCCACAGCAGTCTTAGTTTGGCGTGTAATAGGTACCAGATTAGATGGGTTTGCTGTACGGCTTTTGAAGGCCTTAGACATTCTATCATGTAATCGAACAGCAATAGAGAAAGATACAGGCACACTGGGTTCCCGCTTGTTATGTAAACATTTAAGAAAGTTACTGTTGTCATAGCGGAGACCCGACACATATCACTGAGAGCTGGTATCAGTTGTTTTTGGTTGACCTCGGGCCGATGGAGGAGGGTGTGGGCCCTGGCGCTGTGGCAGAGGCCGAAGAGCTCTCACAGGAGGAGGGGGAGGGCGAGCTGGGCCTGCAGGCTTTGGTGGTTGTGGGGCCTGCCGCTTTTTGGTTGACATCTGGGGGCTTGCAGCAAAAGAGTGGGATAGTTTGGTTCCAGCAAACACCAGTTCTTCCATTTTCTCTGAGAAGCACAGAAGTGGAGATGCTGGAGATAGAGAAAATGTGTCTGGTGAGACGGGCTGTTGCTCTGGTGTTATCGGCTGTAATATGCTGTCCTGGTTTCCCTGGCTGTTTTCCAGAAAGTCGTCCTTGGGTGCTGAATCTTGGAGCAGTTCTAGTATGTCACAGTCTGTCTGTGGTGAGCTCTGTGGGCGGGGCTCAGCTGAGATTGTGTTCGTGAGCAGAAGTTGTTGTGGCTGCATGGTGTTATCATTGTCCTTGTGTGACGTGTCAACCGCATGTCCATTCAGGTGCTGAAGTGAAGTCCTGTGGTCATTCATACTGTGTCCAGGTATGTGTGTGCCATTCAGGTTGAGTGGATTGGCACAGACTGCAGAAGGATGATTGAGGGAGAAGCAGATATTGTCCTTTAGCACTCTTGAGCCAAGTTTGTTTGGGTGGTGGCCATCCTGTTGAAACAGTTGCCTCTGACTCCAGAAAAGATTGAAGTTGTCAATGAAGTTTACTCCTTTTAAATAGCAGGTTTTTTGGAGCCATGTAT